GGGAGAGGTAGTGGTTGCGGGAGAGGTGGTGGTGGTGGGAGAGGTGGTGGTGGTGGTGCTGGAGGAGGAGGAGGTGGGAGACGTGGTGGTGGTGGGAGAGCAGGTGGTGGTGGAGGTGGGAGAGGGTGGTGGTGGGAGAGGTAGTGGTGGTGTTGGAGGTGGAAGAGGTGGTGGCGCTGGTGGTGGTGGGAGAGGTGGTGAAGGTGTTGACAATGTTGGTGGAGGAGGTGCTGGTGATGAACAAGTGAATGGAGGTGGTAGTGATGTGGAGATGGCTGACGACTGGTGTGAAGGTCAGAAACTTGGCACAGCCATGCTGTAGACAGAACAGCTGTGTATCTGCCCTTCTCCACTCCACCCCCAGTCATGCCTGAGGCTAGCTCTAGCAGGTTTTCTTGTATGTATGTATGTATGCATATATGTTCATACGCACGTTCGTATGTATGTGTAGGGAGGCAGCCCTACAAACAGCCCACCCTCAGCCTGGTGCCCATCACCACACCAGTCAGCCTGAGCCCTGCTCACCGGAGTTTGCGGCCCAGGACCCTTGGCAGGAATGCCAACTTCTTGGCGATGATGGTTCCTTCGTAGAAAGAGGGCTGGCAGCTTTGGGCAATGGCATTGGCCGTCAGCACTGCCATCAACACGGGAAGTGCGTGCAGGATCTGGCCCGTGAGCTCGAAGGCCAGCATCGCCGTGGAGATGGTGTGGGTCGCTGCCCCTGAGAAGGCAGCAGCCCCTGCATGGGGCAAAGCCCAGTGGGGCAGCTCAGAATGGAGCCCCCGCATGAGAGGGCAGGACTGGTGTGGCCATGGGGTGGGCTGGGGAATGTCCAAGGTTTCCTGACAGAGGTTGCAATGCTGGTCACTGTTAGAAGCATGCTAATTTATAGGCTGAGCAGGTGGAAGGTAGATAGCAAGGATGGGAGATCAGGACAAACAGGAGCTGAGAGGGGCGAGGAGGGGACATGGAGGCCTGTGTGGAGGGCGGGAGACCTGATGGGAGACTTGGGGACCAGTCTTGTGCCATGAGACACTACAGTAGGTGCTCCAGGTCCAGCCGAGCCCCATAATGTTGCCCACCCAGCAGCGCCCCTGCCACTCACCAGCCAAGGCATAGCCCCCAGGAATGATAGGATAGGTGACCCCTCCAGCGAGGATGCCTTTGGGGAAGGCGACAGAGAGGGCTTCTCCCAAGAGGCGCCCAATGCCAGCTCCTGCCCACAGATTTGGAGTGAGGAGGTGAAAGCCAGGCTGGTCCAACCCCCAGTCTATCCCAGCTGATCATGACCAGCCATGATATCACTCCAAGGAGGGCGGGGTGGACCAGGACCCCCTCCTGATAACTCCGAGTCCCTCTCTCAAGACCCCAGACTCACCAAAGACGAATTTGGGCATGAAGTACCCCGCAGGCATAGGGATTGTGGTGGCCAGAATCACCATCCAGAACTAAATGCAGAGACAGAGGAGAGTGGTCGGGCACAGGACGTCTGAGTCTGCTCTCCTTCTTACCTCTCAGCCTTCTCTTTGAAGGAGGCATAGTAAACTATGCCCAACTTACAGATGAGGAGACTGAGGCTCCATGAGCTCACATCACTTGCTAGAATCACCCAGCAGGCAGGGGGTCTGGGTAGAAGGCCCGGCTCTGGCCTGCATGATGGCAGCCTATGCCAATCCCCCCACCCCCAGGGCTGATCTTGGTTCTGTGTACACCACAGACCGGGTGGCCCCTGGATGCCCACCTTCATAACCAGAAAGAAGGCGAGGGTTCCAAAAATGGTGAAGTTTGGGTGGTACCACTCGAACCAGAGGTTTTGGGGGTCAGGCTCTACCGGCCATGGAGGGCTTGAGTTGCGGGTAATGAGCGCCCATGAGTTGTTGTCAAATAGAGAGTCCAGATGTTGTCTCATGGACAGCTGGAGCAGAGGGTGGAATTCTGCATGAGGAGGCTGAGGCAGGCCCCAGCCACCACTCCTGCATGCTTCCCGCCCCAAATCCTGCTCTGCTGTCTCCAAGCTGGGGGATCCTGGGGGTGGGGGGAGGGTAGTCTCTGCACCCCCTCTAAGCTGCAGCTGCCTTGTCTGTGAAGCCATGCAGGCAGCTCCTTAAATGAGAGGGCTAGGAATGGCAGTTCCCTTCTCCCCCATTTCATCTGCCCCAGCCCAGCACCCCTTACCCGAGAGGCTATGAAGCGGCCCACGCCAGGGGGGTAGGTGATGGAGGCAAGGATCAAGGCCACCAGGGAAGCGTACACTGGCTTGCTGGGGGAGGAGGGGGTGGTTAGCTCCAGAGACTGAAGAGAGAAATAGGGCCTCACAGGGCAAGAACAAGCCCCCCACCCCCATAGGGTGCTAATGCTGGATGGAGCCTTCCTGGAGGAGGGACAGGAGCAGAGCTGGGGCTGGGGAGAAGCAGGCAGGGGTCAGTCCCCCAACACTGAGTCCAGTAGGGGGCAGGGCTATGAGAGAGTTAGGAACAGAGATAGTCTGGGAGGAAGGACAAGGCCAGGCCAGGCCAGACAGGAGCGGGGTGGCTGCAGGGCTGGGGCGGGGGCAGAGGAAGGCAGTGAAGGTGAGATGTGACAGGAAAGGTGTTACTGAAGGGCTTGAACCCCAGGGAGGGTCAGCAAGGAGATGAAGGTGAAGTTAGGAGGTTGCTAGCTCCAGACAGGAAAGGCGACAGCGACTGTAGGGGTTTGAAGAAGGATGTTAGAGTGAATCTCTGTAAATTGTGGACTCTGGGAGGAGGTGGAGGGTCTTTTCATCAAAGGCTTGTGGGCTCAGCGGAATTGAAGTTGAGGGGAAGGTCCCCTAAGAGTCCCAAGCCCAGTGCCGACCTGGTGGCTAGTAGTTTGGAGGTGAAGCGATTGGTCCTGATGAATATGAGGAAGGTCCGCTGACAGAAGAGGTAGGCGCAGCTCAGGATGCCGCAGATGGCCCTGGAGGTGTGAGGCCACGAGGCTATGCCCCACACACCCCTGCCCACCCCTTCCCCAGTGTTCAGCAGAGGCCACAAGGCTGTGCCCCACGCATCCCTGTCCACACCCTCCCCTGTGTTCAGCAGAGACCACGAGGCTGTCCCCCACGCACCCCTGCCCACCCCTTCCCCAGTGTTCAGCAGAGGCCACAAGGCTGTGCCCCATGTGCCCCTACCCACACCCTCCCCAGTGTTCAGCAGAGGCCACGAGGCTGTCCCCCACGCACCACTGCCCACGCCCTCCCCAGTGTTCAGCAGAGGCCACGAGGCTGTGCCCCACGCATCCCTGCCTTCCCCAGTGTTCAGCAGCAGTTCAGGCCTGGAATAGGCCCTCACTGGAGACCTGCTCACCCCAACAACACAAAAAAGAAGATCTCAGGCAGGTCAAAGGGAACGTCCACCCGGAAACTGGTCTTGAAGAGGGAGGTGATGGTCTCTGGAAAGGAGAGAAAGGGGGAGGGAATGTAGCACATCCACCCCACGCAAACTCAAGTCCAGAATCACTAGGCCAGGGGAGGTGGGGGCAGATAATTCCCGCTGCCCCAGGATCCTTTTCCTGGCATTCAAGGCCTCGACCCCTGCCTTCCTACTCAACTTCACCCCCTCTTTACCCCAGGGCTCCCCCCTTCATACCCAGCTCTCTTCTGTCCTCCTGGGAGGACAAGGAGGGAGAGAAGACAGAAAGGAGGTGGGTGGAAGAAAAGAGAGAGAAACAGGAAGAGAAATGGGCATCTCCACCTGTGAATGAAAACCCAACCTTTCCGTGAACTTTGCATTAAAATCACAATTTAACAAAAAGAGGGAAGAGGAGAAGAAAGGGTGGGAAGGCAGGGAGGAAGGCAGCTGGAGAAGAGAGGGGAGGGGGACAGATCTGATTCTTGTGCAGGCCGCTGGCCAGGCACTGGAGGGGAGTGTGGGCGCTGCGTGGGGCTGGGGGGGGGACTGAGGTCACTGCACGGGGGCGGGGGGTGAGGGCACTGACCGGGGGCTCACCCTGCTCGCTGTTGAAGACGGCCAGGAGGCGGAACATGAAGGCCCCGCAGGTGGCGGCGAAGAAGCTCCTCCAGTAATCCCAGACGGAGTAGTGCGAGGCCAGGACCTCGATGCTGAACAGGACGCCTGGGGGGACCGCAGGCGCTCAGACTCTCCCCACTCTCCCCAGACCCCTGTTCCGGCCCCGGAGGCCCCTCTGCCGGACACCCTGTCCTGCCCACGGTCTTGATCCCGCAGCTGGACACGTCTCCAGTCCCCTTGACTATGAGGATAGGGCAGGGGGTCCAGGACCACCCTGAGGGGCCACCTGACAGCTGTGGGAAGCCATGTCTATGCCCACTACGTGCTAGGTCTCCCCAAAGATCAGGCCATTGAGTCCTCATGGCAGCCTTTCCAGGTAGGGTCCCCATTGGACAGATGGAATGAGGCTCAGAGAGGGGTGCTCACTGGGTGAGGGGCGCACAGGTTAGGCGGGATTTCAAACTAAAGTCTGTCCCAAGTCACCTTAGGCCTCAAGTCACTCCATCCCATCCCAGCTCTGGGGTGGCTGCACTTGAGGTAGGAACCCCAGCTCTCCCTCAGCCCTTCAGCCGGCAGAGGAGGACACCCAGGCGCGGGGTGCCAGAGGAGAGGGGCTCAGGGTGGGGGCTCACCACTGAATGGGGCCGCGAAGACTGTGGCCACGCCCACCGCCGCAGCTGCCACCAGCATTTCCTTCTGCTTGCGCCTGTTCTGGGGAATCCGAGGTGCAGGCTCAGGTCCCCCAAACCTCTGCTTCTCCTCGTTCCTCCTCTGGCGAACGGGTGGGGACCCCATTCATTAAAGAGAGCACTTCTTACCTCAGACTCCTTGACGGCCTTGGTGCGCACACGGCTCAGGTAGGCTGAGATCATCACCGACAGGTGCACGAAGGGGCCCTGGCACAGCAGGTGTGGGGGCAGGTGTGGGGGCAGCGTGGACACCCTGGGGGAGGTGGGGCCCTTGCCGGCCTCAGGCTCCAGGGTAGGTGCGGGGAGTGGCGGGGGGTTCGCGGGGGGAAGGCTGGCAAAGGGAACCTCACCCAGGCCAGTGGTGGTGTGACTGCCCACTCATATCCCCCATCCATCTCTAGGGGGGTACTGAGGTGACCTTTGTCACTCACTGGGGATCTGCTCTGCCCCCCTATCTGACACTAAGAGCTCCCTAAGGACGGGGCTGGCTGAGTTCTCAGACCCAGCTTCCAGTGAGGTGATGAGGGAAAGGCAGGGGGAGGAAGGGCAGGTGGGTGGAAGGTGCCCACATCTGACCCCTTACCACTTTGCCCAGGAAGATGGTGCTGCCACAGGCCAAGGTGCAGGTGAGGCCCGCAACCTTGGCACCAAAGTTCTTGATGTCCAGGTAGTCCTCCAAGATCACACCAGACAGGATGGTCTTCAGCTCTGGGATCCCAGAACCTGGGAGTGCACAGGACGGGGCAGGAGGAGGGACAATCTTTAACCACATAAACCTGGTGCTGCTCCCGGTGTTTCATAACCCTGTGAGGTTAGGATTGGTAAACGTGTATCGCAGATGGGAAAACTGAGAGCCAGAGAAGGAGAGTAAGTTTCCGTGAACTCCCCTCTGGGCCTGGCAGACAGCTGTGATGGGGCCCAGGGGACCTAGGACAAGAGCTGAGGGCCCCGCTGGAACCCTCCTGAGCACTCTGTCTGCTGGGCTTGAGCTGGAGGCCTGGAGTAGCTGTGCCTCTCCATTAGCCCCACTCCAAACAGGGCTTGGCATGAGCTCTGCAGGGGACTCACCACCATCCCCCCCAGTCACAGACCAGGGGAGCCCCCAGAATGCACATCACACTGGCAGTAACCCGAGAGTCAAGCTCTCTGGCCTGTCCGTGTGACTCCTTAGCCAAGCTGTGAGTTGGGGTAACTGCTTCCTGCTAGCCCCTATCAGAGGTCCGATGGGGTTTGTAAAGGCTTTGACTGGTAGGAACTGAGGTGCTTGCCCCTATCAAAGGCCCCATGAGCTATGAAAAGGCTTTAACCGGTGGGGACTGAGGTGCAGAGAGATGGCACCCTGAACTCACCTCCAGAGAAGGGTGTGATGCTCTGAGAGAAGCCTGAGGAGAAGGAGACCAGGGCCACGGGGTACACAGTCCAGGAGAGGTACCGGAGCAGATGGCTGTCCCCAATCTCTCGGTACAGCCAGTTGTGTGCTGAGGACAGCAAAAATCAAGGAGCCACCCATCGTCTCCACAACCCTCAGGCCTGACACTGTGGTGCCAGGGATCAGCCAGAAAAGGGACATCCAAAAAAGTGGGTCCAGGGACACCCACTAAATGGTGTGGCTCCCAAGAGGAGGCAACAGGTAGGACCCCACTCCATATCTCAGTTTTGCCACTTCCTAGCTGAGTGATCCTGGGCAGGCAACTCTGCCTTTCTGAGCCTCTGTTTCCCCATCTGTCAAGTGGGCTAGTGATTGGTGCCCCTTCAGAGCAGATGAGTCAAGTGGGAAGTGTCTCAGTAGCTGTGTGGCGCACAGTAGTAGGTCTTCAGTACAGTAGCTGGGGGAATCCCCTGGAGAAGATGACTTGGCCCTTTTCTGTCCCACGCCCCCTTTTCCAGAGAGCCCTCAGGCTGAAGAGATTCTGCTGAGGTGTGGAGTGGGCGGAAGCTAGAAGCCTGCCATCTACACAAGTGTCTTCCCTCAGGGATAATGAGTTGAGAGCAAATGAGAAGGAGAAGGAACAGAGGTGGCATGAGAGGTGGGCACAAGGTTTCCATGGAGAAGGGCTCTCTGAACATTCTAGTCTCTCATTCATATGAGGAGGTGGAGCCCCGGAGAGGGGCAGGAGCTCCCCGGGACTGGGACCGCACAAAGATCTGGAACAAAGCTGTAGACACAGGCCTCCTCTCCACCCACCCCTGGCTGCACTTGGTGGCCCGTCTGGCATCCCGAGAAGCGTGCCCAAAGCCCTTGGTGCAGAGCAGAGTGTGTGCCGGGTTACCTCGGACCACGCGGGCGACAACGAAGTTCATGGTGTAGCTGATGAGGGCCATGAGCACCCCGAGGGTCATTAAGAGGTGCCAGTCCTCGCCCTCCCGGAAGAGCTTCTGCTTCAGCCACCCCAGGCCATCTGTGGCAGGGGTGTGGGGTCAGAGCCCAGGCTGGGGCAGACCATCCTGTGGGGCAGAGCCCAAGCAGGTGTGCAGGTGAATGGTGGTGGGACGGGACCAGGTAGTAGGGCGATCAGAGGGAGAGCTGCCTCACATGAGGGGCAGAACGGATTTGTGGCAGGGGTGGTTGACAACACAGTGGGCACCAGGCCTGTTCTTACTGCCCGAGGCTTTTGTCCTGTCAGCTGCCCAGCCCCACCCATCTTGCTATTGTTATTAGTTGCCATCAAGACGGTTCTGACTCATGGGGAGGTGTGTGCGCAGTGTGACTAGGCCTGTCTCCCAAGGCACCTCTTGGTCAGCTTGAACCTCCAACTTTTCAACTGTTGGCTGAGCGTTTCATCATTTGGGCCATGAAGGGACTCACTCCTCCCTGTGCTAGAGGACTTCCAGAAGAATGGTCAGGCAGGGAGAATGTGGATAGAGGCTGGGAACTGCAGCTTTCATCAGCATCCCAGAAAGGTTCATAACTCAGAGAGCTGGAGAGCTCCAGAGTGCTAAATCATGGCTCCACTAAGTGCTAGGCCACAGAGTTTCTGCTGGACCCCCAGGCAGGCCGACTGACTGCCAGGCCAGCCTGGGAGCCGACCCCCACTGGTCATGGATGCCATCCCCTAGGGCTGCACAGAGCCTCTTCCTGGGGTCCCTGTCTTGTCCGTTCCCCGACTAAAGGAATGGTGCCCCAGTCAAAGCGAACAATGCACTTGGGACTCCATGGAAAGATACCAAGTCCAGACTCCACCAAGTATCTGATACTTGCCCTCAGGCCCCTTATTGATACAAGTGAGTGAGAGTCTTGGGCCACCCTGTACCCAGAGGCTGCATCTCCCAAAAGGTAGAAGGCAGGCATCTGGCACATCTGACTCCTGGACAGATGGATAAACAGACTCCTTCCCTCCCTGACACCCAGAAGGATGAGCAGTGAAGTTCCAGGCCAATGAAAGGAGGGGGAGACCTTTGGGCCTCCCAGCAGAAGGGGTAGGGGTGCTGTCCTGAGCAAATGTGTGGAGTGGGGGTCAGCTCTCACCTCGGATGGCTCTACGGATGCGAGGACACGGGCTCCACAGTTCCCGCAGAGTCACAGGGTTTCCTGAGGACCCCTCACGCAGCCCCACCAGCTCCTCCATCAGGTCCCTGATGAAGCCGAAAGAGAAGTGTACCCTGTGTGAGCTGCCCCTGCAAATTTACCCTGTCGTCCGCTCCATCTGATATAGCAGTTTCCCGAATAAGAGAAGGGGGCGGGGGGAGAGAAAGAGAGAGAGAGAGGGATCTCACCAAGTTAGAGGGGATATCGGGTCTGGGGTGCCATCAGTGCTGTGGGGATGTCTGCATGTGTTGTGTGGGTTGGGGAGTTGTATCCTCAAGGCCCAGCAATAGCTTAGTCTCAGGCAGGGTCCCTGGCCTCACAGCCCCCACATCCTGGGCATTCTACCCTGTCTACTGCTCAGAGCATTCTCTCACTACAGGGTGCTCTGACTCCCCACGCTCATTTGAAACCCCTTGCAGGGTGCAAAGGCAGGAAAATCCCAGGTGCCAAAGGAGACCTTGTGAGAGTGAAAGTAGGGTGCTGGCCTGCTGGCCCCCACCTTCTGACCTGGCCTTGGTGGGTTCTTGTCCGGCACCACGTCCAGCGGCCCCTGTCCTCTGCCTGTCCGCCGCCCTGCAGTGGCCCCAGCCGGACCTCCTCTAACAGAGATTCCTTTGCCTGCAGCTCAGGTGCACCTGGACAGGTGTGCGCTCCACCAATCAGCATCCTCCCTCTCCTCATTACCCGCCTCCCCCCCCACCCCCAAGTTTACTGTGGCCATTAAAAATGCCCTTGACAAACCACCCAGAACTGCCCAGGCTGGCTGAGCTGTGCAGGGAAGAGCAGTCAGGAGGGGGTGCAGGGCCACCCCCGGCCCATGTGATCCCAACTGCACTGCAGGCCCCGTGGTGCACACAGTAGGACCGTGTCTGTGTCTGCTGGGGCAGAAGGCCAGGGCTCTGGGTCCCCACATCCAGGCATGGAAAGGGTTTAACAACACAGAGGAGGAAGACCACTGTCACCATCAGGAGAAAAACTCAAACTCGCTGTCCAGTCGGAACCGGCTCAGCAGACCCTCCAGTGGCCCCCCAGGCTGTAAACCGCGTGGGAGGAGAGGGCCCACATTTCTCCCACAGGGCTGCTCGTGGATTCAGGAGAGGCATCACCTTTGCCGGAGCAGCGCAGTGCTCCCTCAGAAAGAGAAAGGGCAATGTATTTACTGCATTGAAGAGATTTACTGCCAAGGAAATGTTTTTGGTTCTATCTTATTTTTAATTGGTTTGCTTACAAAGTTCATATATACATTGTGTTTCACACTATGCTTCATTCCCATTGTGTTTTGTACAAACATTCTCATGCATTATGTTTTATAAAATTGCCGCAGGACTTTGCCCATTATTACTGTCTTTTCACCCAGATCTTTCCCATTTCCTTCCCCCCTCAAACTGTGCAGCTCTGTGGTTTCGCCCGTACTCGTCTTCACCCCACTGCTCCCCCCTCCTTGAGCTCCCATACGTGTTTTACTAGTTACCCTATTTTTACGATCATGGTCTTAAATGTCACATTTATCCTTAAGAGACTGAGTTAGTTCAGTCAGCCTAATGCTTTTGCTAAAGATCAAAACTGTCACTTTATTTTTTTAGAAAGGATATATTTATTTTATATTGGTTTGCATGCAAAAAAACCAAAGAAACAAAAAAAGAACACAAGCAAGCATGAGTGGGATCTATTATCCCAGGCCCCTTCTGTGGGCCAGGCACCCCACAGTTACCAGGAGCTGAAGCCCGCTGCAGCCAATGACATGTTCTGGTTTTGAAGCAGTGTCTCAGAGCACCAGGGCTTCTTTTCTGTGAAGGCCAAGGGAACAGAGCCGATTCCCACCCTGGTGGGACTGACTGACTCGTTCCTGCCTTGGTGGTCCATTTCATACAAAGATGGTGAGCAGGCCAACCACCTGAAGCAAAGGCAGTGTGGTGGGAACTGCTGGAGGCACCAAAGGCCTGACAAGGAGTTCTTTTCATCTGAGGAAAACACCAAAAGAATTAACTATGAATCAATTCCAATTCAGGTGACCCCAAGTGTATCTGAGAAAGTCCATGCTCTGTAGAATTTTCAGTGGTTTGTTTTACAGATGTAGGTCACCAAGCCTGTCTTTCAAGGCACCTCTGGGTGGACTAGAACCTCCAGCCTTTAGGTTAGAAGTCAGGTACGCTAACCATTTGTGTACTCAGTGCCTTCATTATCCAGTGCTGCTGTAACAGAAGTACCACAGAATGGCTTTAACAAGCATGTTTATGCTCTCATACTGTTTAGGAGGCTAGCAGTCCTGGAGAAAAGGTCCTTGCTTCCCTCTGCATCTGTAGGCCCTGCATTCCTTGGCCATCTCCATGTGGCCTAGCCTTTGCCAGGGTCAAGGAGCTTCCTAGTACAGGGACCTGACACACTCCACTCCTGATATACTGAAGTTTTCACTGTCCCCTTCACTCTTCTCCCTTTCATCTCTTATTAGATTAAGGGATGTTGCATCCCACTCTTAAGCCTCTTACTGGTTTATCATATCATGGAGTATCATTACATAACTTTCACATGAAATCATTACATACATGTATTTGGGAGTGGAGAGACACAATTCACTCTGTGACACTCAAGGACTTATTATCTCAGAAGGCTGCCTCTTAAGTTGCATCATGACATAGCAGTGACTCAGGCTGGGGCCTTTCCATTAAATGCTGCAGATTTGGGGCCATCTGAACAAAGGGTAGAAGCATGGGTGTCGCCACAGGATGTGGTAGGGGAACAGGTATATATTGCCAGCTTCACTCCAGACAGTACATTTACAACACCATTGTGACCTGGAAATAACTTCACAGCTTTGCAGATGATAAATGTCTGCAATATGGATTGAAGCTCCATCTCAAGTAAACAAAGATTCTCACATTGGGCCAATTGACAGCACCATGGTAGATGGAGAAGAGATTGAGGTTGTTAACAGTTTCAACTTGCTCGGATCCATAATAAACACTCTTGGCATCAGCAGTCAGGATATCAAAAGACGAATTGCACTGGGAAAATCTGTGGTCAGGGACCCCTCCAGAGGAGTGAAGAACAATGATGTCAGTCTAGAGACTAAGATATGCCTGATCCAGGCCATGGTCTTTGCAATTACTTGGTATGCATCAGAAAGCTGGACAATGACTAAAGATGATAGAAGAATTGATGCCTTTGAGTTGTGGTGCTGGAGAAGAGTATTGAACATACCATGGACCACGAGAACAAATAGATCTGTCCTGGGTTGAAATCAAATTTCTCCTTGGAGGCAACAATTTTGAAGCTCCATCTCACATACTTTGGGCATGTTTCCAGGAGGGACCAGTCCATGGAGAAGGACATCAAGCTTGGAAGGGTGAAGGGACAGTGCAGGAGAGGAAGACCCAGGATGAGATGGATTGACTCAGTAACTGGGGTATTGTGATAGAGGTGTCAGAGTCAGTGAGACTAGCTCAGGATAGGGCAGGGAGGCTTCAGAGCTGTTGTACATAGGGTTGCTATTAGTCGTTGAAAACTCAATGGCACATAACAACAACAACAAATGATGAATCAGAGAAGTGTGGGTACTTTTCTGAGGTCACACATCAGAGGATAAACCCAGACTTGGACTATGAGGCTTTTGACCTCCCAGAAACTTCTCCAGTTCCTAGGCTTGATAGATGAGGACAATGGCTTGGGTACAAAGCAGAGGATTAGTGTCTGATGCCTTTCGGAGGTTTGAGCAAGAGAGCCACTAAGGACCCTCCCCCAGACAGATCCTCCCTCTGAAAGTCATGATGGCCTTTCAGTGACAGAATTCTTAGAACCTGAGCAGCCCCCTGCCCCCAGATAGCAGTCCAAGTCATCAGTTTAAAATAGAAGCCTGTGTGTGCGTGTCTGTGTGGGTGGGTGCATTTGCGGGGGAAGTGAGTATGGGTGGAGGGTTTCCTGTTCTGTGTGGACCCACTCTTGCCTCAAGTCATCCAAACACATTGGCTGTTTGTAGTGACAGGGAAACTGGCTGCCATGTTGACATCCCCAACGCCAGCCTCTGGCCGCTGGCAGCTCACAGTCCCTGAGCCAGCCCTGGCCAGCCAGCATTGCATGACCACACCCTCACCCCACTGCCCTGTGAGTGCCAGGAAAGTGAGGACAGCAGGGGGGGCATGCAGCCTAGGACAAGCCTCTCTCAGAGCAATTTCTCTCAAGAGACAACCTCTAACGTTTCTCTGTTCTGTGTGAAACGGCAAGTATAGAGAAAAATAGCTTAACACAGGGAGTGCAAGCTTGAAACTAGAACAGCTCTGCCTCCCCTGGCGGTTCATGCCCCACTTGGAACCTCTGTTTCTTCTTCTGTCCAATAGGGAGAGCCTAGGCATCATGGGGGTAGAGATCTGTATCTGCCAAGTCTCCAGAGCCTAGAACAGTGCACGACACATAGTAGATACTCCATCAAAACCGCTTCCAAACTTTGGCTCTGTGAGGATTCCTTTCCCATGATCTGGCCATGAGAATCTGAGGGTGCAGGATGTAGTCTCTGTTTGTTAAAAGCTCTCTCAGATGACCAGGAGGCCTTGTAGGGTTTGAGAGTCAGTGGACTGGGTTACCTCTGAGGAGTCTTTAATCTGAAGGGAAAGGCATTAGAATGGCCTCTGTCACCTTTCAAGGTCCCTCCTGGCCACCGCGTCCAGAGAACCCAGTATTTCATGGAGCCTTGGGATGGAAAGGGGGGGGGGGGGGGAGGGGGGGGGGGGGGGGAATGGTGGGCGGGCGTGGGTAACGGGATCTGACGCCCAGGAGCTGTGACTCAGGACCTCAGCACCATGACAGTGTGTCTGCTTTTAGCCACTGGCTCCTGTTTCCTGGCGGGCGACTGGCTTCTGGGCCCCCACCCCTCCCCCACCCTCACCCCACCCACTCGCCATGGCACCTCGATGCTAAGAACTGCCTGACAGCCAGGATGGATGACAGAGACCAGTCAGAGATCTTCACTTGAAGAGACAGACCGCCACCTTGCCTCCATCTCCCAGCCTGTGCCCTGGCCTCCCCTGCTTCATCTACCGTCAGCACCAGAGTTTACTCTTGTGACTACTGTGCCTCCAGAATGAAGGTCCTGGACCCCCTGGGGGCTGGATGAAAGAGCCCATCTATGGAACCCCCAGCCTAACAGATGAGCTCCTGCCTTGGGGGAGATGTGCCTGTCTAATATGGGAGAGAGGGCACAGCCAGGAAATCACAGAACACAGGGAGTCCAGGTCACACTGCCAGGGTTGGAGGGGACTTCTGGGCAGGGTCCTGTGTGGCTGGAGCAATCTGAGAAACCTCCACAGAGAAGGAGGACCTTGAGCTGATCTGGGAAGCAAGAGCAGGGGTTGGCAAGACGTCTGGGGCCTGGCATTGTGACCCAGGTAAAGGCCCTGTGAGTCTTCTCCACAGTGGTCTTCCCACTCTAATTCAATCAATTCAATCTCTAATTCAATCCAGGACCTGTTGAGTGGAAGATGGGTGTAGAGAGATATCTAAGACCATCTATCCATGTGTCCATTCAAATCATCCTGGCCTCCAGAGAGCCTTCAAGGCCCAAAACAAGGGCCTGAAATCAGATACTTCTGGGTTAGACTCCCAGCTCTGTCCCTGAGACCTGTGTAAGCCCCTCCATTTTTGGGAAGCCCCCTTTTGCTGGCTATGAAATGCGAACTTCACCTCCTCCCTCCCGAGCTGTGAGGGACCAGACAGAGCCATGCTGGTCATGAATGCAGCCAGCAGCTGGAACCCAGGAGGCATGCTGAAGTCACAGCGAGAACAATTGTCTAGAACAATTCTTTTCTGCTAACTGAAATCTCAGGTGTCCCCACTGAAATGTCAGGCTAGTAGACAGTCCTTTGAACACAGCCTTCTAGATCTGTAAGGACAATCGCCATGTTATCTGGGCTCCAGCCCTGCTTCTAGCTGCCAGTTCTCGCCCCTTTAGGGCCCTAAATGACCACAGAGTCAAATGGGGGAAACAAACATGGAATCTAGTTCCCGTGGGAATGGGCAGGAGGACATCTGCAAATTCTACACACACTCTCTCTTTCTCTCGCTCTCTCTCTCCCCCCAGGGCTGTCTCAGGCTTCCTTAAGAAATGGACTGTAAACATTGCCTACCTTGAGGGAAGCATCCCCTCACCTCACACAGGTCTCCAGAAGCCCAAGCCTCCTAGCTACCCTTGACCTTCCACCCCTGCCATTTCTTGCTGTCCCCTGAGCTGTCTGACCCAGGGGCTTAGACCATCTGTCCTGACCACCTACCACCCAGATTCCCCTTTACCAAGGACTAGAACTTTGGGGAGAGGGACCAGGAAATACAGGACACCTTGTTTGCAAACAGCTTACAGTCTGAGGGAGGAGGCAGACATAGTCTTTAGGGAACCCTGGGCAGATTAATGGAGGAGACAGTAGACACAGAAACAGTCAGCCCCTTCCAGAATAGCCCATCAAGTACACCAGGTCCTGGGGCAGACACGGTGGTCACAGTGCACAGGGGACACAGTGGGACATCGTGCACGCCCCACCCCCAGTGGGCCCAAGGGCCCTGGTCTGGTGTTACCAGCCTGGAATGCGGGCAGTGAGCTCAGCCTGCGGCCTGCGTGCATCGCCTGTCAGCAGGGCCGTCTCGGTGGAGAAGAGTTCCAGCCCCCTCTGGGCCATGGAGAGGCCTAAATTTAGCTGGTAGACAAGGGGCTGGCCCGGAGCCCGGGGACGGTCAGGCCTTATAAAGCGCCAGCAGTCAGGCCCCGGCACACTCCCCCGGAGGCCGGCTGCCCACATCCCTCTGCTGTGCACCCTGCCCTCCTGGACAGGGCCCAGCGTCTGCCCGTGGATGAGCCACAGGACGGCATCCACCTTCAGAGCGGAGAGAAGTTTCCACTCCTCTTCCTCCTCCTCTTCCTCCTCGGCCTCCCGCGCCCTTCCTGCCCAAGACCCACCCATGGAGAAGGCCCTGAGCATGTTTTCTGAGGATTTTGGCAGCTTCATGCGGCCCCACTCCGAGCCCCTGGCCTTCCCAGGCAAGTGCTGGGGGCTCTGAAGGGAGGGCAGAGGCACAGGTAGGGGGCATGCACGCCAGGCCACCATCCAATGGGGGCAGAACTGACGCTGCACAGCCTGCAGCCATGTGGTCACCAGGACAGATGTGAGAAGAGCACACAGGTGGGCCTCCAGGACAGCTGCCCCGCCCCAGGTTCAGGCACGCCTCTTGTGGCCAGATGTGGCCAGGTCTTCACTGGAGCCCTGGGTGGCTGGGTGGGGTTGAAGGCTGGGGGTTATCATTCAGCCTCTAGATATGAGTGAGGTTGCCTGAATCACACGTTCACACCATATCAGCATCAAATTAGAGTGGGACTCCATCCCCTGTGGGCAATGATGAGGGGAAAAGTGGGTTTCAGGGGTGATAACCTGAGGAGAAAGAGGCCAGGGGACAACAAACCACAGTCCCAGGCTCTGGAAGCAAGCCTCCATTGAATCCAGCTCACAGAAGCCTTTCTCACAGCCCGTCCTGGGGGCCCAGGCAAGATCAAGACCCTTGGAGACGCCTATGAGTTTGCAGTCGATGTGAGCGACTTCTCACCGGAAGACATCATCGTCACCACCTCCAACAACCACATTGAAGTGCGAGCTGAGAAGGTGAGCTGTCCCCCACCCCGGGCCCCCAGATGCAGTTCCTTGTCCTTCCCCTGCATTCACTATTCCCCATCTCCCCACTCCATCCGAAGATCAGAGACCCTAACCCGTGCCTCTGCCCTCCCCCACAGACTCCCCTAGGGCACAGTGGGGACCTTGTTCCCTCTAGCTCATGGGCAATGAGACCCTTGACCACCTCTCCCTGCCCTCAGAGACCCCAGATTCCTTCTTCATGTCCCTAAGAACCCAGAGCTGAGGGAGACCTGGGGTGGGGTAAAAGGAAGGAGATGGTGGTGGTGGATGAGATTGAAGGGTTAGGGGCTCCCTTATCTGACACACCTTCAAGCTCTCTTCTTGAAGCCAGAAGCCTACCAGCCTTTGGGACCCCTGAATCAGGCACAAGGCAGGGAAGAGGGCCCCAAGGACTCAAAACCCCTACTCCCTCCACTCACGGGTGGCAGGGTCTCTGAGTCTGGGGCTTCCAGCCCAGTTTGGGGAGGTGGAGGGCGTGGCCAGATCTGAGCAGTGATGCTGTCCTAGGTCAGATGACAGTGATAGTGTCTCCTCCAGGACAGGAGGAGAGAGTCTCCTCACAGCCTGAATTCCCTTCTTGAGGGTTGAATGAGGGAGGCTGGAGGCCCGGGCACCCGAGCCAGGGAAGCCAAAGACTGTGGGCCCCGGAGCACGTGCCTGCTCTGCCGCCCCTGTGGTGACTCAGCCACCTCAAAAGCCTCTGGACACTATGTGCTGGCCGAGCTGTGGGGGAGGGGCCACTGGCCCAGCCCACTGAGGGGGACACTCAATGTGTCTGGGCATCCAGGAGGATACAGATCTTGTCTTTCCTGTGCTGCTCAGGGGCCCCAGCTTTCAAGCCCCTCCCTCCTTGAGCCCCTAGGAACTATCTGAGCTCATCAAAGCACCTCCCTGCCTGTCATGCTTGGCCCTTGCCGTGTGGCCCTGTGGCTGTCTCCATCATCACCAGCCCCTCAGGGCAGCCTCTACTCCTCCCTTGACTTTCAAGGATCCAGCTGGGCTTAGAATGGTGGGAAGGGGCTTCTGAGAAGGGGGTGAGGCCTGTCATGTACACGACAGTAGGGGACAACCTGCCCTGACCCACTGCTCTTCCCCAGCTGGCGGCTGACGGCACCGTCATGAACACCTTTGCCCACAAGTGCCAGTTGCCTGAGGATGTGGACCCCACATCGGTGACCTCGGCCCTCAGGGAGGATGGCAGCCTGACCATCCGAGCACGGCGCCACCCTCACACAGAGCATGTCCAGCAGACCTTCCGGACAGAGATCAAAATCTGAGGGGCCTCCCGCAGCTCTCGACCCCTGGCCCTCAACAACTGCCCACAGTGGCCTACTAGAGCCCCTCTTCCTACTCTCTCCATAGTAGTGCCTAGACATCTCAGACCCTGACAGCCCCAGGCCCCAGGTGGGCCAGCCTCCCAAATTGGGGGCCTTATGCTCTGCCCAGGACAGGTCTGGGATGCCCCTGCCTCACCTGTAGCTCCCTGTTGCAGATATGATCTACCTAAATCAGAAGAAAAAGTTAGGGGTGGGGAAAGAGGAGTCCCAGATATGCCACTGAGGGGAAGGCAAGGACCTCCACGGGTAAATAATCTGCAGGACAGACAAATTCTTTGTTCTATGGAGTCTCTGCAGGGCAGGGGCAGGGAGACCTAGAACTTGGGACTCCTTGGCCAAAAGAGAGAGAGGTGGAGAGGAGACATGGAGGTATCCATCTCGGGGCATTGCCCTAGGGCATAGGGAGCCAACCAAACAGCCCAGCCATGAAGGTGAACCTCCCCCACTGCCCACTGACACTCTCCAAGCCCCAGACCAGCTGGCAGGCTGCCCATTCACCTGATGTCCCCAAGCCCCTGGGGCCTGATTTCCAGCCAGCCAGCTGTGCCAGGGCGGAGCCATGTAGTGTCTGCATATACATGGGGTTTTTCCAATACAGCTGGTTCATGAGAAACTGTGTGGAAGTGCTGTGGTCTGTTACTGGCTGATGCCTCCAGGGCAGACTGGGGTAAGGGGTGGGGCTGGCACTCTTCCCTGCCCCAAGTCTGGGTGTAGATAGGACTAGCAGGCAGAGGGTAGAAGAGAGTGCAAATGGGACTTTATGTCTGCAGTGTGGGACCCCAGCTTCTTAACAACCTCCTTCTCTGGTCAGGTACCTCCACTATTCTTCCTCCTCTTTAATCTATGAATCTATAGACTAGGTCTGTGTGTATGATACATCCTACACCCATCGCTGTCTTACAAAATACAAACCAGTGTCTGCTTCTTGAGGCCAAATTCAGGACACTCTAAAACTCAGCTTTATAATCTGCTCTAACAATGGAGCACCAGATTCTCTTAGCAGTGGGTTACCCAGCTTTTTCTTTGAAGGCTGGATTTGAACTCACTAGGTCAGAACTACTCTCCACCTATGTGCATGGGGAGCAGTTCCCTTCACTCTGCATCCCTCAGCCTGTGTACCTTGCCCCACTATCTTCCTGAGGAGAAACAGAGGTGGGGATGATCCCCAAAAGAGTCTACAACCAGTTCGCTCCCAGTCCTGGATTCAAGACAGGAACCCCCATCAATCTTCACTCCTGGCTGTTTCCTACCTGCAGAAGTTTGAGTTAGGTGTCCAGGACAAGGCCATGGCCAGCTTCTGCCCTCTGTGCCTCTCAAGTCAAGATACTGTTGGAGTAACCACCTCTGCCTCTATCACTGGGTGGGGGGGGCTTGTAAGAGGGCAAGGTGGAAATGGGCAGCGTCAGAGGGGCCTGGTACTGCACCCTGTGGACACAGTAAATGACAGAATCACAGATTTCTGGAGGTTATCAGCTTGAGGTTTTCAAACCTGGGGTGAAACTGGAGCACCCAGATGGAAAACTCCAGGATAGAGAGACATACCAGTTACCAGTAGAGCGGCACACTCAGATCTGGGGGTGCTGGCCAGGGCTCAAATGAAAGCTCAAGGCTCTTGTGACTGAATCCCCAACTTGAGTAGTAATTCTGGGATTATTTCAGTGGAAAAGCTTACAGCAACTTCTCCAGTGTCCCTTATTCATTCAAGATATATGTGTGTGTGTGTGTGTGTGTATGTATGTATGTATATATGTATGTTATGTTTGTTGTTATATGTCATATATATGTATATATGTGTGTATATATGTATATATATACATGTATATACATGTGTGTGTGTGTATACACACACACACACACAATACTATATGCCAGCCCCTATCCTAGGTACAGGAAGTTCTAGTGGACTAGTGGTAAGAAGCTGCACTGTAATACCAAAGGCATGAGGTTGGACTCCACCAGCCAATCTGTGGGAGAAAGATAGGCAATCTCCTATGCCATTAACTGCCTCTGAAAACCTGCTGGAGGGTCAACCGTGGGTCGGTTTCGACTCATACACAACAACAACAACATCCTAAACACAGAGGAAGATAAGCTGTGTCAGATCCCGTTTTGAAGGCCACCTTGCATGAAGTTAGGACTGAGAGGAGTGTAGGGTCACACAGCTCAGAGGAGTTAGGTGGAATCCAGGGTTGGCTGGTTCAGGGAACCTGGACACTCTCTCGACGGATCCTCACAACCTCACACCCCCCAGGAGCAGCCCAGTACGACGTGCCCCCCCAGTCCCGCAAGCTGCGGACCAGAGGAGGAGAGGGGAGGAGTTGGGGGGCGGTATTTCCAGCCTCGGTGAGTCACTGATTCCACTGCGCTATTTGCAGCCCCAGCACTCATCTGCCGGACTGAGGGGAGGGGCCAGACGAGCCCCCGCTGCTTCGCCCCCTAAATGAGGCTCACCTTGGCGCCCTGACCCCAGTGAAGCCCTCCCTTGGCGAGCCGGCGGGGGAGCTGGCCGAGGACAGCTCGGCTGGGGAAGGAGCCAGCTTTCCGAGTTGTCAGTGGGTTGAATAGCCCCCGCCCTCTGGACTCCACCCAGATGAAGGTTCTTGAGGGGTGGGAGCTTCGCAGGGGGCCGAGTGACTGCCGGGGACTGACACGTCCGGTCGGAGGGAGCCCACAGCCACCGCCCTGGCCAAGGTGACCCCGCGCGCCAGAGGAGTGGGGAAGTGAGGACAACGGAGGGTCAGTCACTCATCGTCTCCGCCCTCAGGGAGCCTGGATTGGTCGATGCTTTGGCTCCCAGTGTTCCCTCCCTTTCCCGGCTAAATATAGACCTCCCAGCAGCGGGGGGCCGCCGTCCCAAACCCGGGAAGAGTAATTTTAGCCGCCCGATTCATTGAGTGCCTAGGGTGCGCTGGGCACTGTTCTCTCCACAACAATCGTAAAAGTCAAGTATTTATTGTCGTTGCACGGAGGAGACCATAGAGCGTCAGAAACGTCATATGGCTGGCCTGAAGTCACCCAGTGGGACCTGAATCTGTGTCTTTGATTCTCCAAAACCCTTATCTCCGCTGGGGCAGTCTCCTCCCCCAGGGCCTGCGCAGGGACACAGGACTTCCCGCAGCCACCGCAGAGAGGGGACTCCGCTGTCTGCAAGTTTTTGTGATTAAGCATGGGCATGAGGCTTGGGGAGTTGAAAACCCCCCTTGTGAACTGCAGATTTGTGAGAGGTTCCAGGTCAGATTGAGTCAGAGACCTTGAGGACACTGAGGACTCAGGAGGTACCTTCACTTTTAAAGATCTGTCCCTGCCCAAAAGCCTCCTCCTCCAGAAAGTCCTCCAGAACTGCAGGCTCAATTGTACCCAGAGCCAAAGACCAAGATATTTAACTCTTTTCTCTGAACTCAGATGAAAGTAACGCTTAACCTCTTCACTACCCATTTAGTTGGCCTGCTCCATCCTCCCCAGTTGTTATGTGCTGTCAAGTCAAGTGGACTGACTCATGATGACCCTATAAACAACAGATCTGAACCCTGCCCTAGCCTGTGTCATCCTCACCATCTCCAATGTGCCTGAGTTCGTTGTTACAGTCACCATGACAATCTGTCTTGTTGAGAATCTTCCTCTTCTACAATGACCCTCCACCTTTCCAAGTATCATGTCCTTCTCCAAGGACTAAGGTGTGCCTGGTCCAGGTCATGGTCTTTTCAATCACTTGCTGTGCATCTGAAAGTCAGACAATAACTAAGGATGCCAGAAGAATGGATGCCTTAAAGTTGTTGTCGAGTTAGAGAAGAGTACAGGATGTCCCATGGACTGCCTAAGGAGCAAACCAGCATGCCTTGGAGAGCTCGACCAGGGTGCTCTTTAGAAGCAAGGATGGTGAAGTTTCTTCTCACATACTTTGGGCATGGTGCTATCCTCCCCAGAGTGCCTCCTAAATATTGCCTCCACTGTGTCCTCGAAGGTCCGGAAGTCAATGCAATATAATACAATTATGAGCCTCGGGCCCAGAGAGGGATAGGACCTTACTCAGCATCACACAGCAGGTCAATAGCAAAATCTGTGATGAAGATACCAGACCCCTAGAACCTCAGGCTAGAGGTCCTCCATAACCCACAGGGTCACCCTTTCTTAGCCCAGAGGTAAGCCCTGCCTGTCCTCACCTTTCATTTGGTTATTGTTAGGTGCTGTTGAGTTGAGGATGACTCACAGCGACCCTATGAACAAAAGATCTGAACCCTGTTCTATCATGTGCAGTCCTCACACTTTCTGACACATCTAGTACGCCTCTGAAGTTCCACATAGTTGGATCTCAGTACCCCATCCTAGAAAGGGCTTTATTCTGTTCCTCTTATTATCTATATCACAACAACATATATATATATATATATATATACAATCTCACAATAACATATATCATCTCACAATAACATATATCTCACAACAACATATATCTCACAACAGCATATATCTCACAACAACATATCGAACATAGATCTCAACATATACATAGCAACAGCATATATATAGCAATAACATATATATAGCAACAGCATATATATATATAGCAACAATAACACACACACACACATATATATAAATATATAAATATTTATATATAAACACCATGCCTCTAGAAATTCTATGAACTTTGATAAATGTTGATCGTTGTAGAGGGGCTTCAGGGCTTTTGTTTATAGGGTCGCTCTGAGTCATGCTCAACTTGAAGGCAATCAACAACAACAACTATATATATATATACTTAATAAATAAATAAACACACTAACAACTTTCAGTGGAGTGGAGAGTAAGCCACAGTCTCTGAAGGTAGCCCACCTGGGTTAGTATCTTGACTCTGCCACTTATAAGTAACCCCTTTAAACCTCAGTTGTTCCATCTGTACAATGGAGTTAATGGGATTAAACTAGTAGGATTGTTCTGTG